AGTCCCAGCTACTCTGCAGGTCAAGGTAAGAGGATCACTTGAGCCCAGGAGTTAAAGGCTATGGTGAGCTATGATTGTGCCACTGCACTTTAGCCTAGAAAACAGAGCAGGTCCTTGTCTTTCTATAGTCCTCTGTTATAGCTGTCCTCACAAAGAGTAGAATTATTTGTCTGTATTTTACATCAGCAAGGAGACTTATTCTGTTCCTCTTCCTCTGATGAATTCCCAGCCATGAGATCTGGTACAAAGCAGGTGCTCACAAATTGTTTGGTCTACGAATTATTTTCAGCTTCAAGTCTGTGGCTCAAAGATGGTCTAAGTACTTTTCCATAACTCATCAGAAGAGAGACTGAGCAAGTTCAGATTGCCAAGAATTCTCTGATAAGTATTCTCATCTTGAGATGAAGTCCATTTCTTCCTGCTCTAAGCTAAACCCGTATGTTATTGTTCATGCTGGTAAGTGAATGCTGTTTCCATACCAGACTTGGTATTTTTAGCACTCCTGTTATGATAAACTCACAGTAACCTCAAAAAGAACAAATCAAAGTCAACTTTTTGCCACAGGAAACCAGCTCACACTTACTGTTTTGCAACATGCCATGGGAGAATAATAAAAAGATGAGACCTTTTGCTCACAGATGGTGAGGCCAACTCTCAAGATAGTGGGAAAATGCAGCAGGAAGTGTTCGACCTGGCCACTAACTTATTAAGTAAACTGGAAAAAACCCCCAACACTTAAACATGGCAAGCACATGCATGAGGACAGCAGGTAGCTGAATTGTCAATGGAGCAATAAAAAACATCTACCTGTGAGTGGTAGCCCAGGGCAACACTGGAATCAAAAGCCTGATGGGTGCCATAGGGGCAGGCATGCAGGCAAAGGACCCTGTGGGGACCCCAGCAGGCACACTGCTCTTCCTCTGCAGTGGAGCAAATGACCAGGCAAGCAAAAACCACTCATGCAAAAAATACTTATTTATTGAACACCTACTGTGTGCTCCATTAAGCAATGGTGAAACAGTCAGGTTTCTTTGTGAGGTATTCTTAGGTATGCATCCCAGCCAAGCACCTTGTCCCCACTAGGAATTCCTAAGGCACATTAGTCATGTTCCTAGAAAGAAATGTGGAAACAAATTCCAAGCACTGGGAACATGGAAAACATGCATGCCTTTCCAGATAAGACTGGTCACATATGATGGTACAATCCAAAGATATATTAAATTAGGCTGCCAAGAAAACCAAAGAGACCACTCTATGCATGCTACACAATCTTTCCCTATCATTTATGCTATCAAGTGTAAACAAGCAAGCTCCCAACCAGTGTTTCAGTTTGATTACACAAACCCAAACACACATGGGTATAACTGTTAACCATTTTTCAAGAAGATACTAAAAAAGTTAACAGTAATTCCCCTAGAAACAGGGAAGACAAAAACATAAGGAGGGCTTAACAAATAAAACTTCTTACACCTTCAAAAAGTTTGAAGACTTTTTTTTTTTTTTTTTTTGAGACAGAGTCTCACTCTGGCCCAGGCTGGAGTACAGTGGCGTGATCTCAGCTCACTGCAACCTCTGCCTCCTGGGTTCAAGCAATTCTCCTGCCTCAGCCTCCTGAGTAGCTCGGACTACAGGTGTGCGCCACCAGGCCCAGCTAATTTTTGTATTTTTAGTAGACACGAGGTTTCACCATGTTGGTCAGGCTGGTTTCAAGTTCCTGACCTCATGATCTGTCTGCCTCGGCCTCCCAAAGTGCTTGGATTACAGGCGTGAGCCACCGTGCCCGGCCTTGAAGACTTTTTACTATGACGATTATCTAACAGAAATACAATTCAAATGTTCCTTGGGGAAAAAGAAGACAATTATCTGGGCCTGAATTCAGATAATCTTTGTGTCTCTCATACGTATCTGCACCAGTTTCCTTTAGTATCATAGTGATTGTTTCCCTAACTCACAAGAGTGCAGATGTGAAATTTAATGAGATGCATTAGTGTAGAGATTTCTATTTTATTTTATTTTACTTTGAGACAGAGTCTCGTTCTGTCGCCCAGGCTGCAGTTTGGTGGCACGATCTCAGCTCACTGCCACCTCTGCCTCCTGACCTCAAGTGATTTACCCGCCTCGGCCTCTCAAAGTGCTGGGATTATAGGCATGAGCCACCGTGCTCAGTGACCCAACATTTTATACCATTCTAGTTTTCCTCTTTGGCTCTTGTGAGAACGTTGCTACACAATACTATTGTGTAGCATCAGGAAGGATTTTTTAGATCAAGGTTAGCACATTAAAAATGGAAATAATTTAAAAGTGGCCTTGATTTTTTGCCTATTGTAAAGTCAAGCCTCAGTAACATTCTGACTTCAGGATGTAGGGTGGCTTTGGGTGATATCCAAGTTGAGTGGTAAACTTTGTAGGCACTACTCTTATTTCCATATTCCTGGCACCTAAGTTGATGAATTCTCTCACAGTCTTGTGACAATTTTTGAAGTATAGTTGTTATCCCATTTTCTTTTAAGGAGACCAAGGTTGAGCATGGTTGAGATTGCTGAAAGTCATATCCATGGTTTTACAGACATAGTCAGAATTTAGACCATGAGGTTTTTTTACCTGTGGATTTTGTTTTCAACTTCTATAAGATACATCTCTAGGCTGGGTACAGCGGCTCATGCCTGTAATCCCAGCACTTTGGGAGGCTGAGGCAGGTGGATCACTTGAGGTCAGTGGTTGGAGACCAGCTTGGCCAACGTGGTAAAATCCCATCTCTCCTAAAAATGCAATAATTAGGCATGGTGGCAGGGACCTGTAATCCCAGCTACACGGGAGGCTGAAGGAGGAGAATTGCTTGAACCTGGAAGGTGGAGGTTGCAGTGAGCTGAGATGGTGCCACTGCACTCCAGCCTGGGCGACAGAGCAACTCAGTCTCAAAAATAAATAAATAAATAAAAGAAATAGGCTCGGAATGGTGGTTTACGCCTATAATCTCAGCACTTTGAGGCGGACGGATCACCTGAGGTCAGGAGTTTGAGATCAGCTGAACAACATGGAGAAACTGCATCTGTACTAAAAATATAAAATTAGCTGGGTGGGGTGGCACATGCCTGTAATCCCAGCTACTGGGGAGGCTGAGGCAGGAGAATCGCTTGAACCTGGGAGGTGAAGGTTGTGGTAAGCCGACATGGCACCATTGCACTCCAGCCTGGGCAACCAGAACAAAACTCTGTCTCAAAAGAAAAAAAAAAAAAGAAATACACAAAATAGGTAAACCTTTTAAAGTCGTTAAAAGTATAAAATTGGGCCGGGCGCAGTGGCTCAAGCCTGTAATCCCAGCACTTTGGGAGGCTGAGGCTGGCGGATCATATTAAGTCAAAAGTTCAAGACCAGCCTGGCCAACATGGTAACATCCTGTCTCTACTAAAAATACAAAATACAAAAATACAAAAATATGCCTGTAATTACAACTACTCAGGAGCCTGAGGCAGGAGAATCACTTGAACTCAGGAGGCATAGGGTGCAGTGAGCTGAGATGGCGCCACTGAACTCCAGCCTGGTGACAGAGTAAGATGCCGTCTCAAAACAAAACAAAAAACAGTGCCAGGCACAGGAAGAACACTGAGAAGCCAACCAATACTTACTAACAGTCTCCTGACCACCAGCAAAGAGGGACTGTAAAGTAGTTCATTAATAGTAAGAGGCAAAACAACCCCACCTTTTCATGAGAGTGAAGTTGGTTTTGAGGCAGGGAAATAATTCTGAAGAGCAGACGAAGCGCAGTGGCTTATGTCTTTAACTCCAGCACTTTGGAAGGACTAGGTGGGAGTATCACTGGAGCCCAGGAGTTCAAGACCAGTCTGGACTACACAGATAAACCTCCCTTCTACAAAAAAATACAAAAACTAGTTGGGCATGGTGGTGTGTGCCTGTAGTACCAGCTACTCAAGAGGCTGAGGCATGGGGAGCACTCAAGCCCAGGAAGTCAAGGCTACAGTGAGTCATGATCGTGCTACTGCACTCCAGCCTGGGTGACAGCAGAGCAAGACGTTGTCTCAAAAAAAAAAAAAAAAAAAGAAAGAAACAGGGCCGGGCGCGGTGGCTCACGCCTGTAATCCCAGCACTTTGGGAGGCCGAGGCGGGTAGATCACGAGGTCAAGAGATCGAGACCATCCTGGTCAACATGGTTGAAACCCCATCTCTACTAAAAATACAAAAAATTAGCTGGGCATGGTGGTGCGTGCCTGTAATCCCAGCTACTCGGGAGGCTGAGGCAGGAGAATTGCCTGAACCCAGGAGGCGGAGGTTGCGGTGAGCCGAGATCGCGCCATTGCACTCCAGCCTGGGTAACAAGAGCGAAACTCTGTCTCAAAAAAAAAAAAGAAACAAAGAAAGAAAGAAAAAAAAAGAAAAAGAAAACAAAAGATGAAGAGAAGTTGCTCAATCAGGCTTAGCATGATGGATCACGCCTGTAATCCCAGCACTTTGGGAGGCCAAGGCAGGTGGATCACCTGATGTCAGGAGTTTGAGATCGGTCTGGCCAACATGGTAAGACCCTGTCTCTACTCAAAATACAAAAATTAGCCAGGCTCAGTGGCACATGCCTGTCAACCCAGTTACTGGGGACACCAAAATACCAGAATCGCTTCAACCCGGGAGGTAGAGGTTGCAGTGAGTTGAATTTGCACTCCACTACACTTTAGCCTGGCTAACAGAACAAGACTCTGTCTCAAAAAAAAAAAGGAAGTTGCTCAATCTGTGACCTGTGACACTATCACCGTAGGCTCAACTTTAGAGGGAAGCCATTTCAACAAGTAAAAAAAAGCAAAAGTCATTAGAACCCAGAGCTCAATGGTGGACCTCACCCTTCACGTGCCTTTCTCAAGTGATCACTGGGAACTACCTAATGAAGAATGCCACTTAAGGCAAACATCATAAAACCATCTGGACCTTACAACCAGATTTGCAGAAATCAGAGCCAAAAGACCTCCCTAGGGAAAGTTGTGCTTTAGGCCTACCTTGAAGGAGAAAGTAGTCTGAGGTCGTGCGCTTCAGAGCAGCCTTTGCTTTCTCACTGCTCCAGTCCACCTCCAGGGCTTCTTTAACGGGGCAGAAGACCACCTTCTATGGAAAAAGGCAAAACTGCTTAGGAATAAGATATTCTGGCTTTCAATCACAGGGCAGTCGCTCTTCATCTCAGAAAAATCTCATTATTTAATATTTGCTGATCATTAAAAGAAGCAGGGGCCATTTGATCCAAGGAATGCTTGTTGAGTACTCACTGTGTGCTTCCCTAAAGGCTGGGGATAGACAACACGTACTCCTTGCACTGAAGGAAGACAGAGCCAAGTTCCCAAAGACCTGCTTCCATTCTGGCTTTTTAACTTTGGTTGGGCCAAGGGTAGTGGCTCACGCCTGTAATCCCAGCACTTTGGGAGGCCAAGGTGGGTGGATTACCTGACGTCAGGAGTTTGAGACCAGCCTGACCAATAAGGTGAAACCCTGGTTCTAATAAAAATACAAAAATTAGCTGGGCGTGCTGGTAGGCACCTGTAGTCCCAGCTACTTGGGAGGCTGAGACAGGAGAATTGCTTGAACCTGGAAGGCGGAGGTTGCAGTGAGCTGAGACTGAGCCACTACACTCCAGCCTGGGTGACAGGCTGAGACTGCATCTAAAAAAAAAAAAAAAGGCTGGGCACGGTGGCTCACACCTATAATCCCAGTACTTTAGGAGGCTGAGGTGGGCAGAACACAAGGTCAAAAGATGGAGACCATCCTGGCAAAAATGGTGAAACCCCGTCTTTACTGAAAATACAAAAATTAGCTGGGCGTGGTGGTGCACACCTGTAGTCCCAACTACTCCGGAAGCTGAGGGAGGAGAATCACTTGAACCCAGGAAGTGGAGGATGCAATGAGCCAGGATCACGCCACTGCACTCTAACCTGGTAAGAGAGTGAGACTGTCTCAAAACAAAACAAAAAAAAAATTAGCTGGGCATGGTAGCGGGCACCTGCAGTCCCAGCTAGTTGGGAAACTAAGATAGGAGACTCGCTTGAACTCAGGAGGTGGAGGTTGCAGTGAGCAAGATCACGACACTGCACTCCAGCCTGGGCGACAAGAGCGATACTCCATCTCAAAAAAAAAAAAAAAAAAAAAAAGATAGTATACAAGATGTTTTCACTGTCCTCAAATCTTTTTGTCAATGGGTCTGTTTGACCTCAAAAGGTAAGTCATGAAGTCAGCCTAGTGACACTTCATGCCTGCTATGTAGACTGCCAGGCCCTTCTTCTT